GGGAGAAATTTAACATCCAAGGCTGTTTGAACATCTGTGTACATCCCTGTACAGTTCAACACTACAACTATAAGACTTCCTTTAAAAAATTGGCATGGCCAGCTGTAATTTACAATGACAAATGAAATGCCCCCCCTCTCTCAGAAAAATACCCTTTACAATGCTCTGATACCCAGTCCTTGCCATTCTGGTGGGGCTGTCTTTATTTTTCCCTGCCACTCAGATGGCAAAATTAGGATATGCTGAGTTAGCACAGAGTGTAGTAGTTTGCAGCTGTCTTGTGTATTGCGCATATTTGCAGTTTTACTTGTAAGAAACGTAGGCATTTATACTTTTGAATTCCATAAATATGCAAAGTTATACTAAGTTATAAATGATGCATTTTATATCATTAAAACAGCAAAGTCAGTTTACATTTGATAGGAAAGTAAGTATTGCATATATTTCACTGTTCCTGAATTTTTCATTTTTTTTCCTTAGGGGGAAAGGGCTTTCAAATGTATGGAATAATAATAAATTATCATATGGCTGTGTGTGTACTATAGCCGGGAGAACCTAAGATTGTCTGGCAGTCAGAAGTTCTAGCTCTTTTGGCATTATGCACCACAAGGTGACGAACTAGACTTTTTTAAAGGCAAAAGACGTTTTAGAGGTGGTTTGCCATTGCCTGTCTCTGCGTCAGGACCCTGGTATTCCTTGGAGGTTGCCCACACTAATCAAGGCCAACCCTGCTTCGTTTCCAAGATCTGATGAGATCAGGCTAGCCTGGGCTATCCAGGTCAGGGCCAAAATGTATGGAAATTTTACATCTCTATATAGGTCTTTGGAAAGGGGTCTCAAACATTTGAAATTCTAGCAAGTATTCAAATGAAGTTAAATGCAGTTAATATTATTGCAGGACATTTCAGTGCAGCATCACCTTCTGATGGTAAACTCCTAACATTCATGGTTGGGGGGGGGAGGGAAGCAACAATCTGATCTCGTTAACAACAATAGAATCTGTCTAGCAATTTATATGCTCCAGCAGAAATCCTCTTCCTCTGGATCCGTTAATCATTCTCCTTCCATCCTTTGCTCTCAGGATGACATCATCAGCTATGAATTACTAAATAGCTCTGTTGCCATTTAGGACTCAGATCACATAAGTAATGTTTGAGCAGTAATGCTTGAGCATTAGTACAGCTGAGAGGCCCAGACTAGGGATGCTGCAAAGTTCAACATAAGCTTGATGGCAAGATGAACTTACCTTGCTCAAGTCTCTTGAACAAATGCAGGGCAAGCTGCAGATTGGGTCATCTCAGGAGTCTTTGCTGATGTTCATGTTAAACAACTTTGAGCCTGTGAAGTGGCTGCCTGTTCTACATGGCTAACTTCTGTTCCTATTGTTCTGGTGTAGCTGTCTTTTTTTTTTAATTGAAATTGTTGGTGTGACACCATTATGCTGTTTCTAACATTAGGCTGTGTTTCTGATGGCATTGTATAATACTGCTAGTTTTCACAAACTTAAAAAACTTATGGCAGTATACTAGCACTGGCACAGAGTAATGATCACAGCTAGCAGACACAAGAAGTACATGGAGAGACACCTAAATGGTAAGTCTCAATTCAACTGGAATGTTTTGGTGCTTTTTTAAAATTGGAGGCAGCGGCATATGAGCGAGGGGCAGCGCTGTGAAAAAGTGCTGTAAATGGTGACCCAAGAGCACTTCTTCACCTGTCAGTAGAAGTATGCCCCCATAATGCTTTTTTCCAGTTTTAGTTAATGGTAGACATGGGGTAATACCAGCAATATCAATTTTTTCAGAGTCCAGTCACTATGGCAAGCAGTTTAGGCAGAGGCTGGCATCATGTGTTATCCAATACATATACAAGAAAGTCGTGTTGTGCAAAACAAACATATCCAAACATCTTGCACAGCTCAGGAAGGAAAGAGCCCTTTGAAGGGCTAAAGGGGAGAAACAGCAAGCAGCTACAAGCCGCCCTGCGCCACTTTGAAAGCAGCACTTAGCTCTGCCCTATCCCCATAGTGATGACAGAGGGGATGTCCACACAGACTCCCCCACTGCCACGATGAAGATTTCTTTTTTAAACTTTCCCCCTCCAAATTAAAGAGGAAATCACAGGAGTGCCATCTCAAGCTCAGAGTTAAAACAATATAATGTGGACGTTTCCCTTTAACCCAGGGCCTTCCAGCTTTGCACACGGGGGCGAGAATCTTTTTATAGAACCAGCCCTCATCAGTGTTGTTGGCTCTGGTGTAGGCTAGGAGATCAGATCGATTATGTGTGTATTCGGCTATTAAGCGAGTTGGGATTCAAAATGTACGCTTTGATCATTTTCTGAACTTGCAAAGATTCTCAAAAATAGGTGCAGCCTCATGCTGGTATAACTTCTGAATTCTGTGCTTCATGTCCTGTACAGCTGTGTCGTGGGCATAGCAAGTTATACCACTAAGGGGACCTCCTGTGGCTCTAAAGTACAAAAACAGAAGCCAAACATTTTAATAATGCTTAATACTGGAGCCTTTCCTTTGCTTGGCAGAGGAAAATGTGTAGCATTTGGGAACACAGCAGTGCATTGAGTATTATAATAACCAGTATTGACACAAAAAGCATATGGTCTTATATTACATATTGGGTCAAGTAGATCTAATGTTACTCATCATTTCCTGTTTATAAACCATCCTTTCTTGAAAGCAGGAAAAAAATGGGTTTTGCATAGGCTGAAGTCTCTTAAAACAACAACAACAATAAGCTATGCTAGGCTATCTCATATATGCTTTTGAGTGGATTTTACAGTACATTGTGAGACATGACTCTAGATTATGGAACATTTAATTAATCATATATGCCTCCAGTAGATTGATAGTGCTCCTCCAGTTAATGCTCATTTGACATGCAGTGGGCTGCTACAGACCAGGCTGTTTCAGCAACAAAGTCCACTACCTTGTTTAGGGCTGTAGTCGAAAACTATTTGCAAGTTACATTTAAATAAATGGAGGCAAGAGCCAATGCATACTTAACATTTTAGTAGGATATAAAAAGGGATGAAATACACATACATGTAAGTAGGTTGGTTCACCCACAATAAACATGTAAGTGAGGGCTTAAGTCTTCTCTGACCATGGTTGCTAAATTTAAAAGCATAGAGGGGAAACACAGCCATTTAGATGTGTCTATGCCATTGATTTGATGGGTTGCCCATATATGTGCTGTTTAAACATGGGTCTGAATTTGAAGTGCCACCAGCATATGGAAGCCCATGAAGCAGGATTTTCCTCTCTTTCCCCCTCCCAGTGTGGCCACCGACACCTCCTACCCAGGTTCTGCAGGAACAGTATAGGGAAGCAAACTGGCTGTCTAAAGTTGGAGAAGGGATCATTAGAAATCACTCTTCCTTCCCCTGCCAACGGAAGTGTGGTTCTGCTAGCATAAGTGCTTTATGCTGGTAGAAAGCAGTTTAATATCCCAACCAGGAACCTTTTGTGCCTAAATTCAAAAATAAACGTAGTGCTTGTTTCCAAGTGGTCATAGTTCAGATTGGTGTATAAAAAGGGAGCGCAGAGAGGGAAGGAGAACATACGTAAGAGGAGTAATTAGAAAATCCTTTAAAAACACTGAATATAAAGTGTTTCAGATTTTTTTCAAGCAGAGAAGAGAGGAACTGCAATTGAGATTAAATTCCACACTGAAGAACATGTCATGGCAAAGATGTGACCACTGTCAAGCTACAACATCAGAACAGATAGGGTTTGAGTACAGAGAACAACAATGGTACTATTCCTGGGCAAGGTTTCAGATTATTCAATTGATTTGAAGACAGTCTTAATAGAAAATCTGTAGCCTGGGAAACAGAAGGCCTTTAACATCTTGGTTAAAGAAGAACCACAGGCAAGACAAGTTACTTCGTTCTTTCTCTTGAAATGGATAGGAAAACAAAGCACCTTGGTAACCTTGCTTGTGTGGTTGTTTCTCCACGTTGAACAGAGTGGGACCAAGCTACAGCATGTAATTCCCACACTGCTGCAATAACATTTGATTTAGACTTTTATCTCTCCTGGGTAAAAGAAAGGAAGAGTTCATAGAGTAATTGGAATACTCTGTTGTACTGCCATAGCAGAATATTGTGTATTCTGCAGGGTTGTCAGCCAAGGGCTCTCAACCTCCCAGAAGACTTGGGGCGGGGCAGGAACTTAACAAAATGGGGTCTATTGATGCCACATTATCACTTCCAACTGCTTAACCGGAAGTGGTGACACTGTGTTGTGGGACACTCTAGGATTCACACAGAACTCTGTAGTAAAACCGCAAAGCACGGGGGAAATCCTAGAGCATTCATTGAGGCACTTATGTCACTTCTGGTTATGCAGACTTAAGTGATATCACAATATCAATGCATGTAATTTCATTCCTCCCATTTTCTCCCCAGCACCCCATTGAATGCTGCTGACTGTTCATTTGCTACTTGGGTCATTAGTTACTTCTGGTTAGTACTGTTTGCTCACAGGCAAAAATGTAAAATCTGCAGAAATTTTGAAGCCAGGGACAAAACCAAAATTACCTTTCTTTCCTTAAAAAAAACCCTGTAGAATGAGAGAACAGTGTGAACAGCACACAAATTTTAATTTTTGCCAAGAAATAGAAGTTGGCCATTAGAAAAGAAAACCCTGCAGTAAACAAAAGAAAGTATATGGACAGAAAACTCTAAATACAGTCACAATAGGTAGGACTGCCAATATATTTGGATGTCAAGTGTATAACATTTGAAATACTGAACTTTTTAATAATCTATTAACATAAACACATTATAACATATTGTTTCCAAAACAGTATTTCCAGGTATTACATTGTTTACAGAACGTAATATAAGGAATAATTAAACAAGTAATTGGACACACTATGATTAGACATTTTCTTTGATTTGCTGTTGTTTGAAGGAACTGTTCTTTCCAACAGGTATCTTTTTGGTGACATCGTGGTAAATTTTCTTTATATTAACAGGTACAAGCACAAGTCCGTCATACAAAGCTGAACTTCGACAAGCTGAAAACTGATGTTTGCCAGAAAGTGGATCTTCTTGGAGCCAGCAGATGCAATCTTCTGTCTCATGTGCTGACAACATACCAGGTAACTAGCAAGACAGTATCCATAAAACCCAGGACTTACACCTTGATAGAACATGTGCATTTTAAATAGATGTTTAATAAAATCATCTTAGTCATAAGACTAAAGCTGGGTAAATGTCGTGGGACAGTGCAGGGAATATTAACCATTAGTGAACATATGAATATTGAACCAAAAGTTTCTCTTCCTCACAGACAACCCTTCTTCATTTTTGGGAAAAAACATCACACACCATGGCTGCTATCCACGAAAGTTTCAGGGGCTATCAGCCATACGTATTCACTATGCTGAAGGTAAGGTGTATATAGTGTTTTAAATATTTACTTTGTAGTCTCTAGAGAGTGATTCAGATAAAGAAGGGATTGTGGACTTCATTGTAGAACGTTTTGGAGTGGACTTCATAAGCTATATATTTGATATGCTTCTTGACATATTAATTCTGATCATAAGTTTCTCATTAGCCAACATTTGGTTTCTAGTTTCAAGTCCCATAGTGTACTGGTCCCGGTGGGTCTGGTGCGGGAGCAGGTAGAAGTTCCACAGAACAGCCAGGCAGAAAGTACCAGGTAGTCATTCACAGCAAGGGTTCAGGCAGGAGAGTGGTCAAGAGACAGTCCAAGGTTCAGGTATCCAGAAAGGGGAGTCGTCAGATAGTTCAAGTTTCGGGAGTCCAGAAGTCGGGTGGTCCAAGGTCCAGTCCAAGTTCAGAGCAACAGAGGTTCCAGTCAGAGATTCAGGAGACAAGGTGGGTGGTTATGCAGCCATGGTACACGTTATTTATTTATTTATTTATTACTTTCCATTTATATCCCACCTTGTCAGCGCATCCACAATGAGCAGCTTCCCCCTGCCTGGATTTATAGCTGGCTTTCCATGGGCTGTTTAGCTGCTGCTAATTGTGGCATGCATCCCTGCAAGTATTCATCTGGCAACAGGTGTCTGTGATCCATTAGACGCTCACTGCAATGGGCTCTCAGGTCTGATCTCCATTTACAGTGCTGGCGCTCAAGGGGTGTTGGAGAAACACTGGGCCCAGCCTTCTCCCTCTCCTCCACATCCGGACTGGATGCCGGTAAATTGTTTGCAGCTGGAGGAGAGACTGGATTGGCTACATCCGGTGTGTTGTCAAGAGCTTGCATCTCCTGTCCTTGCAGATTGATGGGCTCTGTCTCAGCTGAGTGTTCCTCCTCTTCAGAGAAGGTGTCGTTATCAGAGGAGGTTTTGTTATTAGGCTGGTCATTCGTCTGGTCAGGTTGGCTACCAGGGAGAGGTATGACACATAGCACCTTAGAGACCAATAAGGTTTTGGAGGCATAAGTTTTTGAGAGTCAAAGCTCCCTTCATCAGATCCAAATTTGTATCTAACAAAGGGAGCTTGACTCTGGAAAGCTTATACCCTGAAAATCTTATTGGTCTTTAAGTAGGGTTGCCAACTCCAGGTTAGAAAATACCTGGAAATTGGGGGGGGGGGGCCTGAGAAGGACAGGGTTTGGGGAGGGGAGGGGAGGGACTTCAATGATGACATAGAGTCCACCTTCCACAATGGCCATTAGCTCCAGGTGAACTGCTCCCTGTTGCTTGGAGATCAGTTGTAATAGCGGGAGATCTCCAGCCACAACCTGGAGGTTGGCAAGCCTAGGATGCTACTAGACTCCAGTGTAGCTTTGCTACTGTATACCTTCCTGCAACTTGGTTCCTAATGAGGCTGAAGCACATGTTTTAACCTATGTGATTCATGAGGTGGTTTACAGAGCAATGAATATCCATTAAATCAATCCACTGAATCAATAAAATATAATAAAAATACAGGACAGAGAGCAGCCATGAAAGGGAGCCTAATAAAATTAGCCAGCTCTGAAACTTGATTAAAATAAATAAAAAATATCTATGAAAAACTTTAAGATTATTCACCCACCATTTTTTCTAAAGCTGTGCCACTGTACCAATATAAAATAATTTTACTCCTTTTTGCAAATGGAAGTACTCTCTATTAGTTTCAGAAGAGGGCTTTGAATCAGGCATATAAGGACACCTACATCCCTTTGTAAAATCAGCAACAAGTACTCCTGTAGACCACACTGGAGCGACCTAAATTAAGGATGCGTGTAACTATAGCATCTGAGCTCAACTTGATGAATTTCAGGCCTTTGAAGAGACAGCTTACTTTCAGAGTTCTGTTTTAATTAGTTATACATACTGATAATTTATTCGGTCTGAAGTGTTGCCTACAGAAGGACTCTTAAATGCCCTTGGGATTATTTCTGTAGAGAATACATTGTTTTAGGAAAGGTCCCCCCCCTTTTTTTGGCTAGCCTTGGATAATGAGAGAGCCATTTGTTTTCTTTCCTTCAGGGTGTATTCTTGGAGTAATGCAATTGCAGCTGTATTTCCTGATTTTCAAGTTTGTGTTTGATAGAATATTTTAATTCAAGCATCCAGTTGAGGAGATAGGATTTTGCTGTACAGTTACAGGAGGAGGGGAGTTTGTTCAGGCTTCAGAATTCATTCCCTTGAATACCTTATGTTCTCTCACTGTGAGAATATTAATTGCTCTTTGTTTTCATGTGTCCTTTAATGACTAACAATTTGACCTTTGAACTATATCAAGGAAGGAAAAAAATAAGTACACCATTTAGAAATACATTAATTTGTATTTGATAAAGGGGGCTTTGACTCTCAAAAGCTTGTACTCTGAAAATCTTGTTGGCCTCTGAGGTCCTACTGAACTTGAATGTAGCTCTTATTAAACTTATAAAAATCCGTAGCTAATGAAGATTCCAAATGCGTAGCCATGTTATTGTGCCGTAGCGGAATAAGACAGGAGTCCAGTGGCACTTTAAAGATTACTTTTATCCTATAACTAATGAAGTATTCAGGGGTAGAAGGAGAAGAAAATGAATGATATGAATAAATAAGGAAAGGAGTGTCTAAGCAAGGAAATAAGGATAAGGGTAAATTGCAATGACTCGATTCAATAACTTTGTGGAAGAGCTTCCAAAATGCTATTTTTTTTCTTGCTGGTCTTTTTTTAAACACTACTCTTGACCCAGGAGAGGAGAGATTCTCATCTCTACTCTACCATAATGCTCTCTTAGTGACCTTGGGCCAGTCCTCCTCTCTCAGCCTAACATACCTCACAGAGTAGTGGCCACTTCCGCACTGTCATTTTGTCACTCGTTTGTCCCTATTGCTTTAGGGTCCCCCCCCAAAAAAATGTGTTTTGCTCTCTCTAGTAGTCCCAAAGGGAGCAAAACACATGTGGAAAAGAGAGCCCCCCCCAAAAGCAATAGGGGACAAACAAGTGACAAAAATGACAATGTGGAAGTGGCCGATGTTTGTAAGGGTAAAATGGGTGAGGGAAAACTGCTGTATATGGCCCCAAGGTACTTGGAGGAAGAATGGGATAAAAGCGTAATAAATAAATGCCTTGTTTTCTTAAAGATGGTCTTTTGTTAACAAAGATTTTTTTTACCCCTCCGTTTGAAAATGTCCAAACCCATTATCTTTGCTGCTTTTTCATATGGCTTTTCCATGCTCACTGTAAACTACTGCGGTTATTACTCCTATCAAATAATCCAACAGTACTGCGGCAGTGAAAGAAGGTGTTGTTCAAAGATGGAAATGAGGTTGAATGTTTCAGAGAGGAAATGTCATTAAAGTTGTCAGGTTCCCTGAAGATCAGAAGTCAGAGTCTGAGAGCTCAAGGTAGTGGTTGATAGCAGGAGGATAGATCCGAATGGCGTTTGGATGGTCAGGGGGTGTTAGGTCCTGGCATCACAAGATGGATGAGTGAGCTGAGTTGGGTGGGAACTGGTGAGTCAGGGTGCAAACATCAATAGCTGCATCTCATAGTTTGCTTGTGGTGTTTCTTAGACATTCTTGACTAGGGCTGGGGCTGATCTGTAAAGAAGATAGTTCGCTTCCTTGCTCCTGACTCCATGCACTTGAGATTTAACTCCTGGAGGCCCAGAAAAAGAGACTCCTCTGAAACTTTGGGGCAAGCCCTGAGACCTGGCACCCCTCACTGCAGTAAACTGCCTCATCCAAAGGCATATGGGACTTTTAGGAACCATGTCTGGCATCTGTTATGTTCAAAATTATATTATGTGGTCGCCTTGTATCTTTTCAAGAGAGGAAAAAAGGGATATTACTGATATTTGCCTAGTTTGATTGGACACAGAGGCTGTTCCAAAGCCTGTGATATAAATTACTGTCTTTGCAATTGCATCACTGCTGGTAATCTAATTTTCTTAATTGTTTTTATGTATTCTGTGTTATGTAATAATTGTCACCAGAAGACACATCATTGACTTTATTAAGTATAATTGAATTTTAACATAAACATTGTTATTTACAAGCAGGTAGATTTTTTCCCCTTTTTACCAGGAAAAAAAATGTTACTTCAATAGGTGAAGAAGAAAAGATGTCTTTTGCTTTAATTTGTTAGCTGGAATAAATTCAATTTAATCCAGGTTTTAGATCATGTACTAGTTTTATTTTCTTAATGCAGGAAGCAGGGGCTCTCATTGTGGTCTTGCCATACTCTTTCCTTTGAGAGCTCTCTTTATTTAGATGTTTAGTTAGTCATGCTAGTGTTTGGTTACATTAGTCTTTCAAGTGTACCTTCAGTAGTACCAGAACAGACAAGCTAATTTTTTGTATAGCCCAAGCTTTCACAGGCTGCAACCTAGCAAAAGCATAATCCACCTTGAGTCCTAGTGAGAAAGATAGACTATAAATAGCATAATTTTTTTGTTGTCAAACCACAGCTGATTTATGGTGATCTCATGGGGTTTTCAAGACAAGGGATATTGTGAGGTGGCTTGCCATTGCCTGCCTCCATGTCATTACCCTGGTATTCCTTGGTGGCCTGTCATCCAAATACGAACCAGGGCCAACTATGCTTAGCTTCTGAGATCTGATGAGATCGGGCTAGCCTGGGCTACGCAGATCAGGGCATAAATTGTGTAAATAAAAATAGATAATCAATAGATAGGTAGATAAGTAGATAGATGATAGATAGAAGTAAATAGTAGCAGAAGGCCGCTCAGAGAGTTAATGCAGCTTTACATTCAATAGGCCCTGTTTTTAATGTGTCAGGAACAGAATTCCTTTTCTGACACTGTAAGTGCACAACAGAATTGATTCTCTTGAATATGGCCACTCTGACATCTCTAGCGGACTTTCCAAAAAGGCTGAAATGTTCACTTAGGCTGCAATCAGACGGCAGGCCTGGCACAGTCTGCCCATGCCTCTAATTTCTCCGGAGGTATTTGTTCTGGAGAGGGAGTGA